CGCCCCCCCCCCCCCCCCCCCGGTGTCCAACCTGTGGCCCAAGGGCCCCCAACAGTCAGTATTGGAAGCAGCAGTCTCAAGCAGCTTCATATAACGTGTCCCCGGTCTCTGATTATCTCCTACAGCATGACTTAATTCTCCAACTACTCCTTTAGAACAGTCTCTGACATTTCCTCTTGCAAGTCTTAGCTGTATGTAACCAATGTGGCCATATATTGGGGGGTAATGGCTGCATTGGGTGGGCGGAGCTGGGAGCACATGTGCAGCATCTAGTTAACATATTTCGGGAGAGGTATTATAACCACAAATGGTGAGTTTTGGGTTGACCTAAAGTTCTTTCTACTGAAAACTGAACATGAAGCCTTAAAATAGCAACAGGGAACAAGGATTGACTGCTTAGATTGACCATCTGATGACTTGGGGACCCCTGGCTGTGGTGCAGGAGAAGAGTACCCAACTCTTCCCCACAGTATGTCTCTCACATACAGACACTCTGATGTTGTTAGTACTTCGAAGTTCCTGATAGCCATCAATAAGATCCAAACCTACTTTGCCAGTTTGAACCTGATGGGTGATCCATAACAAATAGTTAAATCTAATGGAAGTGACAGAAAGTTGCAGGCCCACCCAACAAAAAAAATACACCCCGGCAAACCAGCACCAGTGTACAAACCAAAATGTACACAGGGAACACTAACAGACACAATAGGGTATCCTGTAAAAGAAATTGTCCACACCAAAAAGAGTATATAAAAATGGGAAAATCTGGCTCACATAGTGAACAGCTATGCGAATGTGATGCACAGCATATTATGGCCACTAGATGGAGATAAAGAGCATAGCAAATTCCTATGCACCACAACTCCACCTAGTGGCCATCAGTAATAGTATTTGCATGGTGGGGATTTATTAACTGTTCACATAGCGAACTGCTATGTGAACGGTTTATAAATCACCACCATGAAAACAATGACCTGAAAAAAGTAAATTAACCAGTCCCAGTAACCTAGTATAGACTACAAGGGGACTCAGTTTTTTAAAACCCTGAGTTGTACCGACCCGATTCCCATAATATATTAGCGGTAGGCAACTTTGGGTCAGGGGGATAAATAGAGCAAGGGTAGGCAACCTCGGCACTTGAAACAACAAATCCCAGCATGCCTCTGGGAGTCATTCCTGTGGCTATCAGAGTCTTGCAGTGCCTCATGGGACTTGCAGTTCCACAACACCTAGAGTGCTACAGTAGCTCTTCTGTTGGATTGGACTACATGGGCCAACAATGTATCAACAATGAGCCTTGGCCGCCTATGACCCTGACACTAGTTCACCAGTTTTCCTTCCTTGGACCACTTTTAGTAGGTCCTGACCACTGCAGACCCGGAACATCCCACAAGAGCTGCAGTTCTGACCCAGTGGTCTAGTTATCAAATCAACACATCAACTTCAGGGACAAAAGGTCAACTTCTTGCCTAATAAAACACATGAGGAGCTCTGTGAAATCTGGCTGCAATAGATCATATTGGCTCATAGTCCCTCAAGGTCAATTCAATGAATTTTCTAGCTTTGGTGTAGCTTCGGTATCTGCTGGAAATCATTATCAGTTATTTGCTTTCACTTGTTGCCTGTGATTGCTCCATGTATATGTAAGTCAGGGACACTTTCTTCGGCGGTGAATGTTGCCCTGATCAGGGAAGGAAAGGACGGCCGCTCTGTATAGTAAACACAAGCCATGAATGGGAGCTCCTCACACTGTTTACAATGACTGCCGGGGCGTGTTGTGACTGTAAACAGAAGCCTGGAGGTTGATGCATACATCCTGAGCAGAGGACATCCAGGTACAATGACACCTCTCATCACGTTCATAGGAGGAGGAAGAATCTATTTATAGTAATCACACAACTCTGTACAATCACATGACTCAATAGAGGTGAATGAAATACGGTAACACTTGAAGGGGAACTTCACCCTTATCTTAAAGAAGAACTATGGGGTTAAGGCTTTTCCCCATAGTTCTCCTTAGGGTAACGGGAGGACACAAACTAGCGTCCTCCCGTCACCCTAAGCTCAGTATACCACGGGCTGTAGCTCGCGGTATACTGAGCTTAGGGTGACAGGAGGACGCCACAGTATACCTTCAGGTCGGCTAGACCTATGAGGTGAGTGAAAAGCACCCCCCTCATAGTTCTCCTTTAAAGATGACAATAAGGGACCCTTTAGAAATGATGGCAATCTACATACACATACTTCTAGATCATTGCCGGCTTTTTATTCTTTGCATACCTTATTTTTCTTTTCCTCCCCAGGCTTCTCACGGTGGCCGTTTTTACTAAGGGCTGATGAATCCATCTCCCTTTACATCCTGGAACTCTGGGTCTGCCTCCTTGAACATGTGACAGTGCACATGATCTGAGGGGTGAAAATGCCTTTCCCTGAGACAGGGGCGTCCAGAGGCCTGGTGTCACCCGGAACGGAGACCGGGTGACACCCAGCTGTGACGTCACCGCACATGCACGGCCATTTGATTGACGCCTGCTGGCGGCCATCTTGCTGATGAGAGAGAGGAGGGGATGTTCACCCGGCAAGATGAGGTATGCCGCCGGGTCCCCTCTTCTCTCCTGGCACTGTCGGGCTCTCAGTCCGTGACTGACTTTTTAGAGGGGGGCAGTCATTTTGGTGTCACTCTTCCAATGGTAAAGAAAAGTCCATGAGCCCATCACACTCCTGACCGCTCACTCCAATGAAAGAAGCTGGGTACGTGGTGATCAACGGGTGGCAGCCGTGATGAACATGTAGAAAATCAGGGATACCGGCACATGTGACATGTCTTTTGCCTGAGGAAGGGGGTCCTGTGTGACTCCGAAACGTTCGTTGCATACTCTGTGATATGTTACCACGTCATTAAATAGACATTGTTTTGCATTGCTACTGGATTTTCTACCCCTCCAATGGTGTCACCCGGGTGCGGGCCTCACCCCCCGCACCCGCCTTGTGATGCCACTGCCCTGAGATCTCCTGAGATTTTGCAGATTACAGATGAGATTTCCCAGGAAGGCACTGGTGATGTCACCTTCCCAGGATGCATCTGCGAGGCCAGGGCTACATCACCAGTGCCTCACTCAACCAGGAATTAGAAGTCAACCAGGAACAGTCATTGAGAGCAAAAGCAAAATATGTTTAGCTCATAAATGCATGATGAGGTTTTTACTGATAGGGGGTAAAGGTCTACTGTAAAGGGTCAGTCCACCCAAAATTTCAGTCTTTCGTGAATGCTGACACCCTTATGGTTTCTTTTATCGCTCAGCGGCTGTATTGGTGAGATGTCTGTGCTTGGTTCCCTGATCTATATACTTGCTGTGGCCATTATGACTGTGGCCATGGACTCCCACCATCTCTGTGCTGAGTCCCCAAGACTGTACACCTGCTGTGCCCATTATGAGGAATTCAAACCAAACCTGTGCTGAGTCCCCGAGGCTGTCCACCTGCTTTGCCCATTATGAGGGCCTCCCACCATCCCTATACTAAAATTCTGGGTCTGTACACCTGCTGTGCCCATTTTGAGGGGTTTCCACCATCCCAGTGTGGAGTTCCCTGGTC